ACTTAAGTCCCAGTCTACAATAGAGATTTAAGCCCTAAGCCTTAAGAAATTGACTAATCACAGTCGCGCATTCTACTCATACTTGACCGTGATTGGCCAATTTCTTAAAGCTTAGGGCTTAAATCATCTATTGTAGACTGGGACTAAGAAATTGGCCAATCACGATCAAGTATGAGTAGAATGCGCGACTGTGATTATATACAAGAAATCACGGAACGACAGCTGCGACCAATCACAAAAACATCGGAACACTCGTGATTGATCAAGGCTTTCGTTCCGCGATTTTCTGCGTACACCCTGGTACACCCTTCCGCTCTATGAGTTTGCACCCTATGAGTTTGCACCCTCAAGAGTCGATCCTCCTTTTTCTCCCCGCGTCAACGGAAAAGGCGAGCCGCGCGAGCAATTCAACCGAAATAGAACCATCTATGAATAGAACAGACCCAATGATTCAGCCAGCTGCGTCACAATGCACTTCCATGCACTTCCATGCACTTCTTAACGAGTCGCAATACGATCAACGACGTTCTGTCGCGATGCTTCCACCTTTCGATAGCGTACGTCGGCGACGGTTATGAGAGTCGCGGAGCGTGCGAGGGGACCCGCGACCGCGATGCGGGATCGTGCGATCAGTATCGCGTGATGAGCGTGGCAGTTTATTACGTACAGCAGCGTTGTTAGTGTACATACTTGTATATAGATCCGTCATTTCCTTGCAATGCGTACCTGATTAATTAACTTGATCGCGCCCCGCGTTCTGGTCCGCCGACGCACAATGTTCGGTCCGCGAAAGAAAGCGGGCCGAAAGCCGACGAAGACGACGAAGGAGGAGGTCGGTCCGGGCCTAGAGTCGGAAATTGTGAAAGAGAAAAAAAAGAAGGAGACGAGGACTGACAATGTTATAGGAGGTTAAGTGCTCTTCGTACACACCGCCCGTCCATATTGTAAATTCATCAATCGCCGCACCACCTGCGAAATTTATCCCAACACGCAGATGTCCGGGGTTGGGAAGTGACTCGTTGCTTGTAACGAAGTCACAGTTACTTCTTTTTTTGCTAACTATAATTTAACTCCGTTGTCTTTTCTCCATCTGTAACTTGACTCGGTTACAGTTTTTCGATAATTAATTTAGTCACTTTATGCATACGTGAGTTTACAGGCAATAATTTTTAAGGCTCTATATACAAAACGTTAATTAATAGAATAATGAAATAGTATACAAAAGATTGTCACATCCGCACGCGGTATCTAGCGCCTGGCTCTGATTGCCCTTGCATTGCGTCTATTACTTTGCGTATTTTAAACCTCCGCAGATCGCGTCGGGCCTTGCCTTTGCGCGTAAACGCGTTCATCGACACCGTACAATTCGAATGCGGATTTGATATTTTGATTGCAAGGAAGTGACCGCAAAGTAACGATTCGTCACTTTTCAGAATTGGTAACTTGTAACCGCGACTTCATACATTTTGAGCGAAGAAACTGCAAACTCAATACTTTTATAAAGTAGCTGCCCCAACCCCGCGGACGTCCACAAGTTCTTTCGTTTGATTAACCTGCCTTGATTAACATCCTTTGTCTCTTTCTAAGGGGAACAATGTTAACCGAAAGAGTAAAAAGTTGCCTGGCACTGAGACAGTCGACCCACAGATATTAATGTCTTTCATTAACTTAATACAGCAAGAAGCTAAAGAGTCTTCATAATTTCTTAAAATTTACTTCTTGCACTTGGGTTCCTCGTAAATAATTGCTATTCTGATATTTTACAGCGAATGTGACCATTAACGACTTTGCCAACACATTACGGATACATGCAAGGTTGAAGAAATCGGCTACAAATATGTCTAACAAAGGTTAGATGACAACTCATTTACTTAAGTCTTTTTATTAGATAATTTTCTTGGAGTACAAGTTTTATAGTTTGTTGTCTTAGAAAAATGTTTCAATCTTCAACCTCTCTCTCCACATTTCTATTGGTACCGTACACGTGAGATTAATTATGTTGTTCAAATTTTATTTAGTGAAACAGGTAACGACAGTACAAGAGGAGGAACAAGTGTGGGATGAGACGAACGAGGATACCTTGTTAAAAGATAAAACGAAAGGGAGGAGAAATAGAGAGAGAAGGAAATCGAAATACCAAAAGGATGACGACGAAGACGAAGGTAAATGAGATACATTTTGATTAAACACCAAAGATTTTCCTAACGATTGCACCAAATAAAGCAAACAAAAAAAAGTGCCATGTGCGACAAGATGTAATAAAACTACTGTGTTTTATAGGAATCGACTATCCATTGGATATGTGGTTTGCCATCTCGGAATACATACAGCCTGAAGCAGTAGGGAAATTTGCAAGGATTTGCAAAACTTGTTACTACATAACTACCACTGCAAAATTTTGGATCCACTTATACAAATCGTAAGCATTTACTATGCAGTCTGATGCTATACAGACTGAGACGTATGAATTTGTTTTTTAAGATTAGAGGAAAGTCCCCTATTACGCGATAGGCTCCTAATATGAGACAGTAGGTACCCGACATCAAAATTCTATCGCGAATCTTGTTCGCGACGATTACACGGTCTAATGATGAATTTTCCGCTAAGCAGATTTCACTCCAAGGGCAATAGATTCATGGCGGTACCAACAGATGATGACCTATTAATTCAGGAGAAACTCCGCTATCTCGTGTTAGAAGCCTATCTCATGATAGGAGCTTTCCTCCATTTTCAAATTATTGTTTCGATACATTTTAAATAGACCGATGATCCTAAAGTGTATATAATTTAAAATCAGACTATGATTCTAGACATTGCAAATTCGTACCCGATTTGCCGGAGCACCTGCAGCCACAATGTATGAGACTATATGGATTAAGGGCTTGTGTTATAAGGGCATTACATTACGGTTATTTTAGAACATCGGAAAGAAACGAAATGTCTTACTTACGGCAGCATGACCTGCAGTCTCTCGTGAAAAGAAAATGCACTCTCATGTGGCACAAAGTAAATTGCGAATAAAGCTCTCTGTCATTTAAACCCTGACAATAAGTCCAAGTAAACGTGTAGCTGTTCTTTGGTTTATTTTTAATTATATTATTAATTATGTAAAATGTAACCTGATAATTGTATAATTATGTAGGGCTCGTCGTCTTCTATTTCGTGCCGCAATAATACTTAATATTGTGTTTCAGGAGGGAAAACAACGGTGGTATTTCTATTTTAAGTTGATGGAGGCTTCCAAATCGCGCAGCAGCTCATTAAAGCAAAGTAGACAATGTACTGATAAAGAAACCGAATTTTTTGACACATTGAAGGATGTGGCTGTCAATCCCGAGAACGATTGCAAAGTCCTTAGGGTGTGTAACATAAGGCCCGTTCCTAAAGATTCTCGAGGAAACATTTTGTTCGTAGCGATGTATTTTTAATGTATTTAACGTGTAGGTAAGCTGCTTGAAGTACAGTATGGTACCACTGGTGATTGGATTAACCCTGCAAACAGTAACTACGGACCTAATGCCCGGCTTCAGGGAACACCGATTTCAACTTGGATTCGGAACATCGGGTATCCCCAATACATTAACAAATCAAGTAATACTTCGTAACGTTATGGAATACCATATCTTGAATTGGTGGGATCCCGCCTATCCACATCAGGATATTGGTTACGCAATTGAATTACCGCAAAATGACTCGTGGGACTAGAACTTATTACAGATTGTTCTTATATTTTGTGTATTACATTGGGGAGATAGAGAGGCGCCTTTAAATTTTATAAAGACAAATATATCGATGCGCAACAAATGCAAAGTTATTCAGTACCTCTTCTTTTCCACTGGATATTCATGAGCGACTCGTAGATAATTTCTTAAATCGTAACATAATTTACGAAGACATGAATGACATGGAATTAATGGAGACACTGCAAAATTTTATGCGGGACCACTTCATGCATAGCAATTATTGTATAGCAATAGTATATTCAACAAAACGAAATTCTTATATATTAAAAATAAACTTAGTTGTAACAATTCGAATTTGAGATGTTCTACTTTTGAAGTATTTAATTGTGATTGACGACTTACAATTACAGCGATGTGATTGAAAAGACGGCATCTTCGAGTTGTTCCTGATTAATTGCAAGCAAAATTCTTCCTTGTCTTTCTAACTGTCTCCTTAGAAAGAGACAAAGAATGAATTAAACTAATAAGAATAAAGTTACGTTGATGAAACCGGGCTTTTACGTTCTCGAGTACTTTAGCCACCCTGGATTGCATGGACCTAGGAACATCTGGACGGAGCGTAAAGTACCCTTTTAGACGAGGGGAGTGAAGCTTGAGAAGTGAGGGAAAAATTCCGCTGACATTTGTATACTACTAGACTGCTACCTTCGAGCTGTGAAGTGAGACAAAAGTTCCGCCATGTCTTGTTAGGTAAATAAAGTATCTGTAGTAGTTTATAGAAGTCTGTGGTAAGTAGTACTGGCAATGAGAGGAAAGAGCATGTCAAACGTGCACTACTGCAACATGCACAGGTATGTTCACTCGCCGTAGGCGATCAATCTTGCGTCGATCCCTCCTGCATGTTTGGGAGCTAACTGATGAGACAAGTGTGTTGTATGTCTGATGTAGTATATAGCTTTGAATAATTTATAAAAATATAAATACGATAGAAATAACGAAGGAATACTTGTGCAAAAACGCTTTATGTACAATTATTGTACCAATAATATATACAATCAAATAACATTTTCACATACTATTATAAATAACAAATATTCAATTGATTGTGACAGCTCAAATTTCAGACGTTCTACTTTCGACACCTCTTTTCGAGAAACTATGACAGTAAATTATGACGCAAATGACAAAACGGCGTCTTAAGACTGTTCCTGAAATATTTTACGACACAATTAAAGATTATTACTGGTAAAATTTCATTTTTTAACAGCTGCTTCTACAGCATCTATCAACTCCTGCAGATGATGTATGTTAGCAGTCGAGATATTAAGGTCTCTGACCTAAAAGATATAAATAATTAGACATGAAAATATATTATATAAGGCGCATATTTCCCTACCATGTTCGTATAACCGGTCACGTCCACTTTAAGCTGAATACGTATTTTTTCGTCGTCGCTAATTCCCTGTGGTTCCGAAGAAAGAACTCCGGTGGATTTATCACGAATCTTTTTCAACCTCCTCAAACTCTCTTCCGTCTTTTGTACAGACGTCAGCACGTCAGTGACGAATAACAAGTAGCTAAAACATAAACCGATATTTCTACATAATTAATTTGAAATATAGTTTTTATATTTTCACACACAAATCTTTTGTAACAGCATTGTTGGGAAAATGAATTTATCTTTTACCTTTCTGTTAGCGAAGATAAAGTTAACTCCAACCAAAGAAAGATATTTTCAGGAATGACCTTCTTATAATCCATATAAAAGTTACTAAGTGGAATCATCGAACTCTTCACGTAAGGACAAGGTTTAGTCGGCACGTCTCGCTTTGTCCTCCTAAACAATCGAGGAATGTCGCTGACTTGTCTCAAGTGCGTTACACATTGCTCCGAGAGCTCATTTACGATTTCTTTGGTAACTAAAGGTAAAAGATTGGCTAGACTCTTCAACGTTTCATTTAGAGAATCTAAAATACGTGAAATAAATTTTATATTATTTTATGATATATTTGATGATAATACAATATTATTTTTAGATTTTCGTGTCTATTACCTTCTAATAGTTTCGATATCGTAACATTCTCGTCTTTAATTTTCGACTGTACCATTTGTAGGAAAGATGGTAGGGCGTTTATCAATTTTTCCACGTCTATGTACAAATACACTAGAAAGTTTAACCTTGTAGAACGTTCCGAGTCATTTGAATTATTAGTTTCATTTATCACTGGCCACACCTTCAAGTACAACATTGGTCACACATGTATATGGATTTGTCGAGCTTAACTTGTATATAAATGTCGCATTACAATAAGCTAGATATAAAAACGCACTTGTTTCATTGCACTCTGACACCACGTTTGATACCTCGAGCTCATTTGAAGACTGAATTTCCAGAATCTGGTAGCAATAATAATAATGCGTTAGTTTGACAGAGTTGTAAAAGAAATGATCACAGAATTAGAGAACAGTTGCTCACTTGTGAAACAATTGATACAAATAGATGTCGTCGGCCCAAATCCTCAGCAGATTATTCCAAACCACGTCGGTTGCATGAAGCGAGAAGTCTTTTTGCGTCAGCGAGATCAGGCTACCTTTGACCGAGTCCGGTGATATTGGCTCGGCTAGCACTGTCTCCACGGTGCCGGCTATCTCCTGAAATCGTATTTGAAAGTACACCGGCAGATTCCATTTCTTGAGAAAACTCCTGTATTGCGGATGATTCCTCAGCGCCGCCAAAACTTCAGGTGTAACACACTCCGCCTCCAATTTTGTTAGAAACTCCAACGTCGCTGTATACCTCTACAAAAGCGACAATTTGAGATGTACCATACATCTCGAGCACCAACAACGCTTGATATTCCAAGATAAAAATTTTTCTTACTTTGTGAAACAGTACTGGATCTCCCGGAGCAAAAATTGACTTTATATACTGCTCGATCTTTTCTTCGATCTCCACCCAAAAACTGTTCACCAGAAAATTGAATCCCTTTACGGACATTCTGTAACGCCAATAGAATTTGTGTATTTATAAACATGGAAATTGCGTGCTCGATCAAATGTAACGCACAAATACCTCTCGGGATGTAACGTGATGTCCAACAACTGCTTTAACTCCACGTCTAGAATGTTCAGTAGTCTGTGATAAATGCTTTGCAGACCAAGCGGGTCAGTTTGAAGGTTCTCCTCGTTAATTATGTTGTAAATTAACGGCCGTACAAGCTCGTGCCTGACCAGCTCTTCGGCGTTCGTTACTTTGTCGAGCGTAAGGTAAATCCTGAGGCAACGGATCGCCAAGTTCGAGTTCTTCTCGTGTATACACGCTAAGAATAGCTCGTTCAGACACTTTAGGTATAAGCTCTCCAATTCCGTGGTCTCCTGTTACGAAATAATCGCTTTGATTAACTCAACTACTTGACACGTCGCCACTTCAGTTCCCAAATGTTACCTTTTCCTGATTACCCGAGATATCCGATTTACACCTGGACATGTGGAACTTCAATTGATTTAACTCGATCGCAGCCTGCTCCAGAACGTCGATCTTCGTAGGGTTCTCCATAAACGTTTTCATGCACAATATGGAGGAGAGTTTTCTCAAAGACTTGCACACGTGTTGCAGGCTGTGCAAACTTTGCTTGCGTTCCCTTATCTTCAGATTGTCATTCAAATTTGCCGAGATGGCCACGATTTCATCGTCCAGAGCTTGCCGCACTTGCTGCCGACACAAAACGCTATCAGCCTCGACCCGATCACACAATCGCAGCTGCGTAATGTCTCTATGTATCGATTTTAACTCTAATTGTGAAATATAGAGGAAAGTCCTCTATTACGAGACAGGCTTCTAATACGAGACAGTGGGTCTTCAACGTCCACGTTCTATCGCAATTCCTCTTTCGCAACAGTTACACGATCCAGCAATCAATTTTCCAAGTAGATTTCACTCCGAGGACAATGGATTCATGGTGAAACCAACAGACGACGCCTATTAATTTGGCAGAAGCTCCGCCGTCTCTTATCAGGAGTCGTATCTCCCGTAACAGGGGACTCTACCTTCAACAATCTCAGACATTGGTCCCAAACGTATATCTTGCCTATTCTTACCATAACTTCCTCCTTCAACTGCCCAAGTGGCGCCTGCAAGTCATTGATGGCCTTGTCCAGTCCGATCAGGTTGCTCGACAGATTCACGAAGTCCGCGTAGTCCCGGTTGATCAGGTCGATCATGGCCGACCTCAGCAACTTCAGGTACATGCCGAGGTCGTCCCGCATCGTCTCCAGCTTGTCATTCTTCCTGTGATCTTGCAGGAACGTGTCGACATCGAAATCCTCCTGCAACGCCAAGGACGGGGAGAGAGAAATTAATTTCACATGCCGCTATTACAGACGTGGGCAATTAGGGAGACTCGTCGAACCTGCACGAAGTCGAGCTCGGAGAAGCACAGGTCCTTCGGGGCTTTCGGCAAAGTGACGTTGCCGTTGGACATAATTCACGCCGTTTCTCTCGCTCGGGGGATCAATCGGTAGTCGTCATCGCGGGGAGGAGACTGCAGCGTGGGCGCCCAATTTCGCTCGGTGGTCGAAATCCCGCTGTCGCCAGGCTCTCGCCTCGATAACCTCCCTCGGCTATCCAGACGGTGCTCACAGACCGCTCTGCGCGGAGTTCGAGAGCGCGACAGCGGTTCTGCGCTCACCGCTTTCTCACTCCGGCTTATTACCTACTTCTTCTTATTCTAGTTGTGGCACTTGTGGCTCCCAGCTGGCTTATTACCTAACCTCTTAGACATAATGTATCCAGAGTCCAGACCCGTGCGTTGAGCAGCGGTGGCTGCGGAGCCTGCGGAGGCAGAGGGCAGAGGCTCGCGTAGAAAGAGACGAGCTCTGCTTATTTCATGGTTTTGCGCTACTTCGTTCTCTCTCGTTGACACGCGCGAGCGAAAACAGAGCTTGTCCTTTTCTAGGAATAAAAGGGCTCGGTTCTATGTAAATATGTCGTTGGGATCGCGCGACAGCCAATCACGTCACAGGTTACGTACCGTAGGCGGAGAGTAGATTGGCAGTCGTTCGGTCGTTCCTCGTCGACGTCACTCGGCGTCGTCGTGCGCGCGCTGGAGATTCCTCGTAGCATCCCCCCCGTTCCCCCCCGCCCCTGAAAGGGCATCATAACCTGTGCCCGCGGCTCGGCGGTCGCGTTTGTTGACCGAGGATATCGGGCGTTTGTCGTCGAGGGCGCGAGGCAGAGCGAGAGAGATGAGCGTGAACGAGGATTGGGACGTGGAGCAGCATAAAGTGGAGTACGAGTCCGACGAGCACTGGGAGCTGCGACGTAAATTTCTGGTGGCCCACAAGGACAAGTTCGCGGAGGACGTGCTCGTCTGTCTGGCCCAGGTGTTCGTCAATGTCGAGCTGTTAGGATGCAGGTAAGCGACGCCCGATAAAACGCACCCTTCCTTGTGTCCGCGCGTTGCGTTAGCGACGCAAATTCGACGACGTTTCCCCAGTTGCGAGTCCGTGTGAATTCGTTGCAGGTATCCGCAGGAAACGATGGACCTGGTGGAGGAATTGGCGCGTGACGTCGCGGCCGAGTATAGAGAAAAGCAAAAGAAAAAGTTGCAACGAACGTTCGTTGAGGCGTCCGAGGCAGCTAGCTCCAAGGTGAAAGGTATAAAGAAAAATTGTGAGTCGTGAGTTGCATCGTTTTTTTGTTTTTTTTTCCCCTGTGTTTCGTCGTGGGACACATGTAGCTGTTGGATTATTACACTCGTCGTCTATGTAATGCGATTATGTGACGACTTGAGGTGGTTTTTCCTACAGGACACGCTGCTAAAGCATCTACTGTCCCAGAAAGATCTGTACCGCACACGTCTAATCATACATCAAACATAGACAACTTTATTCGTCGACCGAACAAGCGCAAAGCACCCGGGATAAACGAGCATCAAGCTTGTTCACATAACGTACAGCTCGAAGCTAAGAAGGCTAAAACGTCACCTCCTACTCCCACGAAAGAACCCATGTCCAGTGCGTTCAATTGTGACCATCGGTCTAGCGAAAGACTCGATAGCGAGGAGGGACCAGCTGAGACGGTACAAACGAAGGAAGGCGCCTCGTGCGAGGAGCAAAATTTTTACAGAAACATTGTTCTATGGGAAAAACCAGGTAGCAACGCGCAAAGTATACTGCAGGTTTCAGCCTCTGTATCTGGTATGCCCTTGATATGGACCTACAATATGACAGAAGGTGGTTGGTGAGTATATATTGTATTATATTTTAGAAAACAATCGGTCTGTACAGGTTGCCCGACGCAAAGTCGCCGTTGGTCCATATACCAAAGTGTACCAGAGCGTACATTCGGCGTCACGAATGCTTTTACACCTGAAAATAGCCGTCGAGTTCAACATATTCCGATAAAACAAAGATTCATTTTATTAAAATAAATTTTCCTATTGGATAGCTCTCTGCAGCGTCGTTCTTCAGGTGTAAAGGCATTCGTGGCGCCGAGTGTACGCTCTGGTGCCAAACAGTCGCCAAAAGTTGCCTTATGTATGTATGCGTATGTGTGTGTGTGTGTGTGTGTGTGTACACGTTGTATAAATTAAGAAATTGTTAAGAGATATTTCTCACAACTTCAGGGAATGCTATCTTGATATTGGCTCGCATCGACTGGGTTGCAGCACTAATTTCAATAAGAAAGAAGCCAGGAAAGAAGCAGCCACCATTGCGTTAGAAAAATTACAAAAGCGCTGTTACACGGTTAAGGTGAAGCAAAAATAAATCTTTGTCTATATAAGGACAGATATTGAAAAGATCTTTTGATGGAGGAAAGTCCTCTGTTATGAGATAGCGGGGTTTCTGCTAAGTTAATAGGCATCATTTGTTGTTTCCACCACAAATTTATTACCCTTGGGGTGAAATTTGTTTAGTGGAAAATTCATTGTTAGATCGTGCGATCGTTGCGAAAAAAGATTTAGGGTTGAATTTGGATGCTAAAAGCCTGCTGTCTCATATTAGAAGCCTGTCTCACAATAGGGAACTTTCCTCTATATCATTGGTATTCCGTGTTATTCTATAACAAATTATACAGACGTAGAATACAGATGTAATGCTAATCATCGTGTTTGTATAAGGTACGGCTATTGTATTCTTTTTCTTCTAAGTTTTATATATTGTAAAATTCAGGTAAAGGAAGACTTGGGTACAAATTCGGATGTAACTGTAACGACAGACGAATTTAAGCATTCTACCGCCGATAACGATGGGAAAGTAGACTCTTTCCAATCTAATTGCATCGGAAACAAGCTGATGAAAATGATGGGCTGGTCCGGCGGTGGTCTTGGAAAATCGGAGCAGGGTCTTATGGAACCTATGTCTGCGGTGTTAGTTGAACGACAATGTCGTGCCTTAATCTGTAGAAAATTCTTATTACTCCTCATTCTTTTCCATTTTTATATATTCCATTTTTTCACTTTTAGAATCAGCTCGCAAATAAGTCGAAAAGGTTTTGGCCTGAAGACAAATTCTCACAAGGGACACGAAAAGGCAAATGTCGAGATAAAAAGCAAATGTCGAAAACTATTTAAAGATCTTTTACAATCGGATAATTATCTGGCAAACGATATTGTATTTTTGGATTTTTCCAAGGAAGACAGAGCGCTGATTCACCAGTATGTACCGCTTGCCAGTTCCATAAGGTTTTGCGAGAAGAGCCGCTCCTCGTGACGTTTCCATTCCGTTTCAGACTTGCACGATCAATAGGCCTTAAGTCGCGCAGCTACGGCAAGGACCAACGAAGACTGATAGTCTCGCGCAAAGTTAACATACGGAACTTTGTCGAGAAACTGAACAGTCTAGGCGGAGTCACCGAGAAGTACGAGCTGGTGAAACCGGCCGACGAGACGCTCCCTTCGTTGCCTACTTCTACGGACGTGTAAACGTAAAAATAGATTACATATGATCGAAACGGTACCTTTCTGTGACATTGATGTAGCATATGGACTGTAAAATAAATAGGTAACTTTTTGCATTAGTCTTTCCGTAATATTTTATTGTTTAAACGATCCAAAAAGAAAAGACAAGCTGAAATAATCTCGCGACGTTCCAATACGTTCCTCCTCCACCACACAATCCGATGCAGCGAGATTCTTTGGATTCCTCCGCACGGTGTTTCCGCCGAATAAAAAAAGGCATACGTTTTGATATATTGTAGAATCGGAATACCGCGCCCCGTCGCAAGTGAAAATAGACTCGATACAAGGGAGGGGGGTGAAGTACAGTAAAAAGCAATCTTCTGAGGTTGCGATTGTACACGGGCGGGGACCGTGGACCGTGTCTGCCCATCGAGGCCGTATCATAGCGTTTTCGATTTTCTGACTCGACCCGACCCCGAGTCAGAAAAGTTTGATCAAAAGCAAGAATTTGAACCACAATTTCTGCAAAAATCTTACCTTTCATCAAACTTTTCTGACTCGGAGTCGGGTCGAGTCAGCAAATCGAAAACGCTATGAGACTAGCAACGGCCGACTCGGATTGGATTGGGATTGGCGATCGACGATCGTCTCCTAGCCGAGAGCCTATTGAGAGCCCATTAAATCGCCGCTTCGCTCTCATTGGCTAGAAGACAGTCGCCGACAATCGCCAATCCCAATCCAATCCGCGTCGACAATCGCTAGTCCGACTCGGCCTGCGGACGAATGCGACCGTGCGTTCGCACCTTTGAGCGTTGTCTATGTACTCGAGGGTTCGCACGCACGGTCGAATCTGGCGAAATCGGGCGTGGCACGGCGCGGTGTAATTGGAGGCACTGGGCAATTAAAACTGAGGAGAAACGTTCGCTTTGTTTGACGATTATATAACTGTCCGCGCGACAAGAAATCATTTCCCAAGAGCGCCTGGCGTTCGCGAATCGAATAGAGAGGAAGTACAAAACCTTGAGAAGCGGATATGCTCGGAGCGCGTACAGAGTATGTCACGGGGTTGCCGGTGGTTACGTGGAGTATAATAAGAAACGCTTTGGCAGTAAGAACAATCAGAAGTCGAAAGGTAAACATATACAGATTAATACGACATGCGTGCGCGACATTTGTAGAGTGCATCATCACGTCGTTGAAATCTCCGTTAATTAAAGTGGTCAATACGTTCTCTCTCTCTCTCTCTCTCCTTTTTTTTTCTTTTTATACATGTAGGTCGCGTATATGCATATACATATATGCGTGCCATCGGTTTGAAATGACAAGGTTGAAGATTACACGCGTCTCCTATATAATCACTTCGATTTATTGATTAACTCAACGTCTACTCGCCGACGTACGCATATTGCGGGTACGGCGGTGTAACGCAGCAATGTAAATGGGCAACGAGAGCAACGGAACAACGTGAGGGTATATAAAAGAAAAAGCCTCGTCCAAATAAGAATAAAAAAAATGAAAAAAACCCAAGAAAACCGCGCGTCTTCGTCAGACAATCAATTGACCGTGCTGTCGCGCGCATAATAGCCGGGTGAAATGTTTTCACAAGAGCAACGCGAGCCACCGACGTGAAATTGAATTTACGGCAAAGGAGAGCCTCGCGTTTAAAGCCCGCATCAGACTGCGGATTGAGATTGGGATTGGATTGAAATTTGGCCGATTAGAGTAAAAGTCACTGAGCTCGGGATCGGCGAACTTCACTCTCGGTCTCGTCAAATTTCAATCCAATCTCAATCAGGATCCGCAGTCTGATGCGGGGCTTAAAGCTCCGTCCGCGCGGTTATTGTACTTTTCCTCAGAAGCCGTCGACGAATCTCGCGGAGGTGAGAGAGCACGAAGGGCCCGTCGGGCCGGGAATTGAATTCGAATTGTATGTCGCGGGGCATTTGGCAGGGCTGCTAAATTTTTGCGCGGGTACAGAGACGCGTGCGAGAACATTGCCGTCTCTCGTCGTTAAGCCCGCGTCAGACTACTTGAGCTTGAGATTAGATTGAAATTCGGCCGATCGGAGTAAAATTCACCAAGGATTCACTCGAGATTAACGAACCTTGCTCCGATTGGTCGGATTTCAATCTAATCTCAGTCTCAACCCGTAGTCCGATACGGGCTTTAAACGTACGCGTTTCTACCGCCGTCACAATCCCTTCGCGTTTCACCACGTTACGCAATTTCGTGAACGATTAAATTCTCATACGCGGGAAATACAGCGCGCGCGCCCTTTTCGCGATACGTCGCTTTCCGCCCGACCATTTACATTCGGCGCCGAGGTCCCTCGTCACCGTCGGAATAATGTAATGCCAAAGGGCCACGGTAGGAGACCGAGCGACCGCATTATTCATTACCGAAACGCCCGCGGACGGGATCGACAATTTTCCCGAAAATCAGTCGGTGCTCGCGCTGCGTCCGAATTAAAAATCGGGACCAATCGGCCACGATCGACGGGGTTCGGCGCCCAATAGGAATAATTAGGTGCAAAATGCATTTTTGGAACAGTCATGAGGTTTAATAAGTCATGAAATTTAACATGTCGTGAAATTTAACTTAACGTTTTCGTTTCCTTTCACTTAAAACGAGCTAATCTAATTTAGTCGAGAAGCATCGATACCACTTGCTTGAATATCGATCGGATACAACAAGACACACAGTCTGCGAGAGAATATTAAACTGACAAACCAGCTCTTCGTCCGCTCTTCGTGGCTAAGTATCTGCAACACGTGTAAATAATAATAATAAAACGTACAAAGGGGGAGCGAGGGGGTGGGGAGGAAAATATCATCTCTTATCATTCCAAGACGATGCGAGTGACGCGCCTCCGAAACGTGGCATATACATATATGTATATCAGATATTAGTGGAACTCCGGTCTGCCGCTCTCGGGGGAGATAGATTTGACCTTATGACTTACGACTCGAAATATTGGGGCCAAAGGGTCAAGGCACGCGGCGGAGAGGCGGAGAGGCGGAAGGGGGACAGAGAGGGGGAGAGAAAGGGGGGGGGGAGAGAGAGAGAGAGAGAGAGAGAAAGAAAGGGGTGTCGCGGCGCGCCATGACCCCCCGGTCTGATGCCCCGTTCGGTTGTTCGCTAAAACACACAAGTTCCCTCGGATTTTGCCCTCGGTCCAGGCCCTACTTTGGACCGTAATTGACATCTGGAGGGAATATTTAAACTTTTTTTTTTCCTCTTCTTTATATACCAAAATATTATCTACCATCTGATAAAAGAGTGATTTCTCTGTTGATATGTATCCGCTATGTATATATGTATAATATTTGTATACCTCTAGACTCGCTTACGTTACATTAATTAGAAGATATGTCTCAATGTATCGTTTGTATCGATTAAAAGATACGCTTACAACTAGCAAGTAGATACGTCGTTATCCCACGGGGGATGGTATTCTCTCGAGGTAAGAAAGGGTGGTCTCTCGCCCGTCCGCGATTTCTCGATTGTCGCGAATAGCACAATTTATACACACACACATATATATATATATATTTGTGTGTGCGTGCGCGCGTGCCTGTGTGTGTATGTGTGTGTACATAGAAATTTATAACGCGTGAAATTTTCTCTCTTCGAAGTAAAAGGAAAGCGCGACGGGAAGCGCTACCTCGAGAGAATCCGGTACCGTTACTCTCCTCATTATATATATATATCTATATAATTTTTTTTAAATATAATTTACTGATATGTATGTGTACTGATATGTATCGTGTTGCCGTAATGAAAATATCATACGCTAGCATTATATATATCTTATATCTTGCTCTCTTTCGCCTAACAAGTAAAACGCGCGTCATACCCTGAAAGAACGCGACGTGATGCTCCGTGTCTTCTTCTTCTTCCTCCTCGTCTCCTTATTACTCTTTTGTACCCATTTCTCGTAAATAAGCGCAACGCGTGCAGCATCGCCGCACTGCGTGTTACGATTGCGTGACGTTCACGGCTGCACCGAGAGAAATCAAAAACACCTGATCCTTCCGGCGCGAAGGATCGGTATTCCCACCGCACCGTTTTGCAACGTTAAACAAGGCTGCTTCGTCTTGTCCTACCGTCCTCATCGGTGTCGCCTTAATCGAGACAAGAATTACAATTCGGTGCAATTAGATGCGGCGAAAATACCGAATAAACCGAGAGACATTTCTCGGCGTGGGATTTGCTATTTTCACCTTTTTCCCCCCCTTTTTGTCTAATCTTCCTGTTCGCCGCGGTGTCGCGTGTCGCGAAATTTAACGCGAATAGGAGCGACCGCGGTAACGAAGCTAAATTTAAAAAAAGAAAGCATACGTACGCGCGGGAGAACGTCGGTTTAAATCAATATGTTGCAGCAGTAATCGCCTGTCCGAATCAAAGCTTTCGTCCCTCTCCCCGATCCGCAATATACAAGATTACCGTGCAATCGCAACGGAAATTGCGCGGCGCCGTCGGAAAGTACAAAGGATACCTCAAGGGAGTAATCGAGAACAATCGTTACGCGCAGGTCCTCTCACGAAGACGCAAAATGTAATTGAGAGTACAGGGGTTCCCCGCTCCCAGCACCAACAATCGAGGCGCCCAGATCCAACCCTAGTAGCACAGTGCGTGGACCAAACGTTGGTTAAACATTGGCCCGATACAACCGAAGTCCATAGTATAACTAGTATGCCCACTCTGTCATTCGTTTCGTTTTTGCGCCGATCCTTTCGGCGCATCCGCCATTATTTTGGTGTGGCCAATAAGACGGACGTTGTATATGTGGTAGTGTGTACATGCGATAGTGTGACAGTGTGAAAGGATTTCACACACCAAAGTAATGGCGGAATACCACGCGATCGAAACCGAAAAGATCAAAGGGCCGACAGCGAATGGGCATACTAGTTGCACTATGTTTGGTCCCTGCGCTAGGCTACTATAGGGGACCCAGTGAGAAATGATTCGTCGAAACGACATCGACGTAGACGCTGTCAAATTCGACGACGTCGACAAATTCGACGTCGATTCGACATCGTTTCGACATGAATCGACGAGTCACTTCTCGCTGGGAACAGTCGCGCGTCCGCAGTTAACATAAGGGCTGTTCCCCGGTGGGGGAGCCAATTTTTATGGCACTGCATTTGATAAAAGTAACATTATCGGCTTCTTCCGCACGACCTTTCCAAAGTAAGGTTCTGATTAAAAACCATCCTGCCGTGCTCGAACGTAATTACTTCCCGGGAGTTTTCTCTCGCGAAGTTCCTCCTCTTTCGAGTTTCAAGTTTGCGAAGTTAGCAATCTCTAGCCGAGAATACAAACTTTGCCGAGTTTAAGAATTTTAATTTGTCGCGGAGACATGTTCTATCTCGGCCACGATCTCATTGGGAAGAAACATCTCGAGCAATTACAGAGCTCTTCGCGAAGATAACTTTGAACAAATTCTGATGCACAGCTGTTACATCGCTGCCGATCGCGAACGATCGTCGTCGACGTCTCATCACTTATGCAAGATGGTACCGTGTACGTGCTCGCATATTAAAGACACGGCATCGAATAAGACCCGAGACACGTGAAACTGTGCGCACACGTGCACGAGGGTGAGGGAACCCCGTAACGAAGTTACAAGATACATGAGGAAGCTCAATATTTTAGAGGTAGGTCGGACAAAAGCTCATTACTCGGTCACACGAGATGAGGTTGCGCCTCAGCGCGCAACTAGGGGAAGCGAGAGGGAACGCGGGAGAGATCCCTATCTAACTGTAACAAAACGTTTACGTTCAAATCCAATCACGTCCAGGATCAATAAAGCTTAGCGGGAGTAAGATAGGGTATTTGTAAGTAACGCGTTATTGGTCACAAAATGTTACAGTTTGAGAAGTTAAAGTGGTAATATCAGCTTGCAGATCGTACAGAGGACCTAACACGTTCTTCAGGTCCTCGATTACGCTTTTCCCAACGACAGATGCGTGTTCAAAGTCGCGATAATTAAAACTATCCGAGAGCATGCACTTGATTATCAGTTCTGATTATCGCATACTTTACCAAATAGATCAGCGACACGCCTGACGTAACGCTGATCTATTTACGCGTAACGAAATTATCCAAGCGTGATAGAGCTGCGAGACGAGTGAGACCTGCCCGATTGCACGTCGTGCGGAGGAGACTCGGACATATTCGCTCGCTACGCAGATCTCGACGATCATCCCGGTGCTCGCGATCGCGCTCGTCGCGTTGAAGCGAGAGCAGGAGATTCGAGAAGGACAGGAAAGGAAAGAAAAGTGACAGGCTACATCCTGCGCGTAAAAACTCGCGACGAAGGAAAGGCAGAAGTGTCCGCGGAGAGGATGATTTAGGCTTCATCAAACGAAGGGATTGCTGGTGCGACAATGGTGACGTGACACCGGCGGCGATGCGGCGGCGGCTCTTCCTCCTCGTCGTCGTCGTCGTCGACGACGACGACGACGACGACGACGGCGGCGGCGGTTCGGCGGCGAGTGTGACCGTTCAATCGAGGAAGCCCGTCTTAACGAGTTTCTCGAGGAAGAACTTGACGTCGCCCAGCTCGGAGTCCTTGATACCGATGGACTTCAGCATACCCAGATCGCCGTTCTCCACCGCCATGAAGACCGAGCGCAGGTGCTCGAGGTCTGAGCGCATCAGGTGCAGCGCCGCGCCGAAGTCCTCGATCGTCTGCGACTCTGGTAGCCGAAACAGATCGTCAGGTGGGGACGAGATTGCGTAGATACCCACGCAACAATTCGGCATCTTTTGGACGTCTAAAGGACGCCCCGAAGACGTTCAGTAGACATCGTCAGCACGTACATTGTAACGACATTTATTGGACGTCTTTGGGTCCAATGGCTGCGTTCGGCAGAAAAAGCTGTCTTGCAATTGTTGCAACAATCGTGAATCTGACGCTCTAAGATTCAGCAATTAAGAACACAATCAGATTCGTAAATTTTATAACTGTAAAACAGCTTCGTCTGCTAAACGCGGCAAACGTAGCCCATAAATGTTACATTCAGGATATACAATCGATTTAATGTAGACGTTTTCAAGCGAACTATGCACCCTTCTCTATTGTATACTAATATGTATATGAAATATGCCCATACATAATTTTTTAAATGGATTTATATATAATTATGTATAAATTAAGAATCATTTGAAATGATCATTACATTTATATATAATTACATTATTTATATTACATTAAATTATATATAATTATATTTAAATATACATAAATATACTTTAAAAATTATGTATGGACACATTTCATATATAATTATACGTGAAACATTTTTTACCGGGGTCTGTTATGTCACGATAAAAAGACATATGTCAGAACTATTATCCAAACATCTGTGGTGCACATATATAAAATAATCTCATCCACACTACTATTATTTAACAGAATTCCACTGAAAAAAAATTGTATTTAACTCGGACATATTGACGATATACTTCGGACATCCCTAAAATGTCCGCGTAAATAATCTTATCCAAACAACGCCCTTCAAGCGTATTTTAGACATCCGTCAACATAAACGGGACTTTTCCAAGACGTACTTCGGACATCCGGAGGACGACGAATTGTTGCATGGGTAGAGCGACGACGCGAGATAAAACCTTTTCCGAAACTTTTTCCCTCTCACAGAGGTCTTTGCGCACAAATCACGTTGACTACACGAGGTAAATGTTTGTCAGACCGACACGCGAGGTCTGATTAAGATACTTGCGATTTCGTTCTATATAATGCGACAATATTGCTGCTTTTAATAGATTTCCGATACGCGGGAAAGATTAGTAGTGATATCGGGGAACAAGGAGGGCATCCTACTCGACGTTCGCGTTCGGCAAGTTCGCCAAGTTCGTGTCGTAGGTATCTAAATCCAGAGGGGGGGAGGAACTTACCGGACAGTGCGATAGCCACTTTCTCCACACCACCGAGAGGCTTCAGCGTGTCGCGTGCTTTGGTTCCGAACAGCTTCTCCAAGTAATTGGGACCGTGGCTGGCTAGCAGAGACTGCAGGAAACTCGCGGTTTCCTCTACGGGCGGTCGTTTGGCTGTAACAACGTGAGAGCATATTTCCGTGAAGCACCGCTGCAAAGTGTGTAAAACAAAACAAATGCAAAATGCACACACGGGCCCGGTACGCCGGGGATCAATACGGGGAGCGCCGTGTTCATAAACATTCCACTTAAATCGGAATAATTTTCACCCTCTAATGTCGTTGGACACAAAGAAACCAATAAGGCCGAGAGCAACGAAGGGGAGCAAAGTCTTGGTTAATTTTGGTTATTGTTAATTCGGATTCACGAGCACGCGGTACGCGGAGAAAGGCGAAAGCGAGCTGAGAGATAACGTCCTGCGTGAATGCATCGAACGAGCGCGGCGGCACAACCCTCCCTTATCGTGTTACAGCTGGGTGCAGTTGCACGGAACATCGTCGAGTGCGTCCACACTCGAGAGTGGTACTCGGCTCTCTCGTACAATATACATAAAATAAAATCCACCCCAGTATGTATAAAATGAAAGCTACGCCGGATCGCGAAGTAATCCTCAAAGAGTCGGGTAAAAGTCACGTTACAAGTAAAGAAATACGCTGCAAATGGAATACGTTAAAAATCTATCTGTGTATATCCACGGAGAGAACTTTGTTTTAAAATTTACCCGGAAAATTGTGCAATCGTGCACTGAGAAAAATGCTTTGATTGTATCAACAAGACATGTATGATAGAATGTATTTTGGCTAAACCAAACAGAATTTCTAGTTAGCACGATAAAGCTCGATATTTCATAACCAGAAGTTGGCTAGACTCCACTGCACATCTGGCAAATCCTAAAGGAATTCTGATTCGTTTATTTTCTAACAGACGACTGGTTGAATCTACCAGATTTTTTTTCCGTGTGGGACAACGTGGCATTTCGAAGACATTTGTGAGAGCTTTTTCAACTTTTGCCATACATTCTACTGGTGAAATGTATGGTAAAATTTCAAAAAACTCAAATGAAAGTCTTCAAAATGCCACGTTGTCCCACGATTGCCTGCTTTCGGGATAAATTTTAAGAGAAAGAAATCAAATCGTTAGTAAGGTGGATCGCCAGTGAATAAAAAACACCAAATATAAAGAGTTATCGACAATAACTGGCAAAGTATATTTCTCTTAATGTATGTACGACGTTTCGGCCAGTAATACTGGTCCTTATCAAGTACAGCCCATTACTAGTGGTAGCCAGAAATGGCTAAACGTCTTGTATTGTTATACACACTAGCTTTCCACAATACAAGACGCTTTGACATGTTCGTTAAATGTCTTACTGCTTGTGGCAATTACGACTCTTGACCACGTTCGTCTTTTATAACCGAATACTTCAAATTTGTCAACCATTTCTGGCTACCACTAGTAATGGGCTGTACTTGATAAGGACCAGTATTACTGCAGGCCGAAACGTTGTACATACATTAAGAGAAATATACTTTGCCAGTTATTGTCGATAACTCTTTGTATTTGGAGAAAGAAATTAGTTTTTTTTTAAATTTTGCCACACATTCTTCTGGTGAAATGTATGGTAACGTTTCAAAAAACCTTCATAAAGTTCTTCGAAATGCCACGTTGTCCCAGGATTGCATGATTTTCAGGATAAATTTTAAGAAAGAGAAATTAAAGTTCTTCGAAATGCCACGTTGTCACACGATTACATGACTTTCAGGATAAATTTTAAGATAAGATTCTCTCCTACATTAAAAACGTATGCATTTAATGTATATTAAAAATGTATACAAATATAATATGTATAAATGTAATAAACCGGGGTCTGATTTTCAATACGTTTTACGCTTTAATATATTTTTAATATTAATAAACTTTTAATGTATAAATGTAATAAACCGCGTTCGCGAGACGGGCGAAACGCGCGGTCTGATTTTCAATACGTTTTACGCTTTAATATATTTTTAATATTAATAAACTTTTAATGTATAAATGTAATAAACCGCGTTCGCGACGGGCGAAACGCGCGGTCCGACTTTCAATACGTTTCCGCTTTAATATATTTTTAATGTATAAACATTTAATGTACCTACAAATGAATATTAAAAATATATCGAAACGTGAAACATATTGAAAATCAGACCGCGCGTTTCACGCACCGCCAACGCGGTTTATTTACCGAGCATACGGAATGGCGCGCGTAATTAATAACGCCGAGCGAAAGTGGCGCCCCGTTGATTACGTCTGATTAATTAACGAATTCAAAATGAAGAAAATTAACCCACCTGCGGTACACAATCTTGAGTCCTCGTCGTATCCGTCCTGACAGTCGGGTGCTCCGTCGCAGAGGTATTGTATCGAGATGCAAGTACCGTCGCCCGGGCACTTGAACGGTTCGTACGGATGGCAAGCCTCTGAAACGCACACGCAAACTCTGAGAGAGTGAGTAAAGCAATCTGGGAAAAGGGAGTAATCAGAGCTCGTGTGCTGTATCCAAATAGAAACACGCATGTATGTGTGTGTGTGTGTGCATGCGGCTCGATCTCATTCTGCGGAAATGGAAGTTCGGGAAAGTCGTTACGTTGGGACGGTCTCGTGTCGCCGGATGATTAAATTACGATGATAACGTATTAAAACGAGGGATCCGAAACGGAATTAATAAACGCGACGCGGGTAATGCGGCAGCACCCTCTCCCACCCTCTTTCGTGCGGGTGGGCTTTCGGGGTAATTGAGCGAGCACGCGATCGCACTGCTCACGCTACAAGCAGCTGGCGCGCGTTCTGGAAAATCAATTAGCAAAACGCTTAATCTGATAGAACTGCAGGGACAATCGTAAACGTGTATGGATTATTCGGTCCTCCCTCGTTAAGCTCGTGGAGTCATCTCTCGTCACGTTTCCTTCGTCCAATTTTCTCCGCAATTAAAAGTGCCTTTCCCCCGTAAGTTTCTTTTCCACGCGGAGAGAAGTTTCTCTTAGAATTTACCTTGAAAATTCTAAGAGAAAATTCTTACCATACACTTTACTGTAAAGTTTCAAAAACTCCTTAAAATTCGTTAAAATGCCATGTTGCTCCACGGTTGCATCATAATTTTCAAGGTAAATTGCAAGAAAATTCTCTCCGTGTACGGTAGAAACGTTTCGGGTAAATATCGTCAGATTGGATAAAAGTCGCTCGAGACGTTTACGCACACGGAGAGAAGTTTCCTTTCAAATTTACCCTGAAAATATTGTAATCGTGCGACAACACGGCATTTCAAAGAATTTTATGAGAGTTTTTGAAACTTTATGATACATTTTACTAGTAAAGTGTATGGTAAAATTTCAAAAAGCTCTCATACAGTTCTTCAAAATGCCACGTTGTTCCGCAATAACATAATTTTCAGGGTACATCTTAAGAAAATTCTCTCCGTGTACGATAGAAACGTTTCGAGTAAGTATCGTCAGATTTGGTAAAAGCCGCTCGAGACGTTTGCGTACACGGAGAGAATTTTCTTTTTACCCTGAAAATAACGTAATCGTGGGACGACGTGGCATTTTCAAGAATTTTATGAGTTTTCGAAATTTTATCGCACATTTCACTATTAATTCTTAGTATGCATTTTACTAGTAAGGTGTGTGGTGAAATTTCAAAAAGCTCTCATATGCAGCTCTTCAAAATGCCACGTTGTCCCACGATTTTCAGGGTAAATGAAAAAAAGAAATTCTCTCCGTGTATCGATCCTGCTCGGAAAGAACCAAATTTTGTGTGTCACACCTTCTCTTCGGAGGAAGAAGAAATTTTCGTATCCCTTCCAACACCTGTCGGAAAGATCCCAACACCCAGGGGAGATGAAATATCGACGTCCTACTTGTTACATATTTATTCTAGAAGACCCGGCGAGTTTTACTACGGAAGAACTTCCGTCTTTAACTGTCCTGTGGGAAATGTTTTTTTGTAAACGCGACCTTTGTATCGCGCGCGCGCTGTACTTAAACAGAAAAATAAAATTAACCAGAAATTTCAACCGCCTACGCGAGTTTCGTTCCGAATGAAACTTTTCGTCCGGCGGAAAACGACTTCCCCCCCCCCCCCGTTTCGCGCGCGCGGAAACGGAAGAACATCCTATTGTGCAGCGGTTGTGCTCGGCGATCGATTGTGTAATATTGTGCCACACTCGTACGTTTCGTCCACGTTCGTTTTCCCACGTAAACGCAATTTACACCGCAAACGCAGGGCGATTGTGTCCACAAAGCGCCTCGTGACAGTCACGTTTGACCGCGTTAAAGAATTCGATATCTACGGGCCGCCGGTGTTTATCGAAAAGTCGTATCGAGCCACCCCCGACGGCGGCCCCGATGTGGCCATCAGCGTTATTAAATTATTACGCATACGTCGCAGTTCTCCCTCCCCCGCGCTGTTTAAACAGACCGTCTGTAACGTCGGCTTTCAGGCAAATATTTTACCGCATCTACCGCGCGTATCCGGAATTCGTCGTCCGGCCCATATCCAGAGATGGCGTTCAGCTTAAAAGACACGTTATTAAATTGCTGGGCGAGCATCGGCGCAATTCTCCCACGTGTTCAGCGAAGACGCCTACACGTCCGTGGGCGTTTCTCGTCAGCTGTCCGTTGTGAATATTTCGCCGATCGACAACGATTCCCCGGGGAGCGGCGGGCTGGCCCCGCGGGACCGCGAACCCTGGCCTCGGTGCACCTCGCGCGAAATGACCGTCGAGGGAATGTTAAGGGAAGAATAAGATTGCCGTGTGTGCAAGTGGGCGGATACGCGCGGGCAAGCGCGATAAATTTTAAATAGCAGCGGGGAATACAAGTCCGAAGCGGTTGGCCGCCGATCGAACTTGTATTCCCCGTACACGCGTATGAACTTGTTGAAGACTTCGTTGGCGCCTCTCCGCACGGGATACGGAGTTATAAACGGTTTGAACGCACGTTTAAACTCTCGAATCCGCTCAGGGAGACCTGCGAAACTCGCCGCTCCGTTGACAAAGGATGGAAAACAAGTAGACGCTTTTCTAGCGGCGCGTGTTATCTCGAAAAGCAATTTCTGTTTCGCCGTCGAGTTCCGCGCGGCTCATCGATCTCGCCTACCACTCGATCGCTTGCTCATCTCTTATTTCTCTTCGGGCGAATCCGCGAAAACGAGACAGAAATGCAGTTGGTTGTGTTTTTTTTTTCCGATAAGATTCTCGGAAAATGAGGGTAATCGAAAGTTAGATGGGAGATAATTGCGAGAAACGGGGTCTCGGGAATATAGTGCTTTTAATATCAAAGCACGGGGCGACGAGAGTATTGAATAGCGTGTGCAAATTTTATTTTAGTCGGAACTTTGCGGTACTTAAAAGAAAACGGTTATTAGAAAAAACCACGCACCGAGCAAAATATTAAATATAATCGGGCGATCCAATTACGCGGTAACAAACGGATATAAAGTGTACGTTCGACGAAGGAAAAGTGTACGTCGACTTTTCGGTCGGACTTTATTTCGGTAATCGCGTTTCGTCGGAATGAATTTCGCCGGATATCGTCCGCAAAATTAATCGGCAAAATTAAGCATCGGAAATCGCTACTTTAATTGATCGGAAGTTCCTCTCGGCGGATTCACGGAATAGATAATCGCCAAGGGACGAGGGCTCGGACGGAGGCGGGCGATGCAACGACCGCACGTGAAGCCCGCGCTGCGGCAGGTCGGCCCTGAATAGCCGCGAGCTGAGTAAAAACGCGTGCCTTTAAATGTCATTGGCGTGCTATATGCGACTCGGTACGCGTTAAGTATGCGCGTTATTGACCGAGCGAGCGGTGCACGTAGCTGACCGTCGCGTTGGAGAACACGCTGCCGCACGAGCGTCAACACCAGCTCCGCCGTAATCCTCGGCGCCCGTTAATCTCAATGAATGTTGAGGCGGGAGAGGACATGATAATGCAAAGGGCGACAGTGTTCCCCCTTCTTCTTCATTTACCCTACAAGCGTCCCGCGCGGGCTCGTACGCAAAATGTTCACTCGCTGTACTTGTGAGCTAAAGTTGACACGTGTACGTGTATATCTCGGGTGTTACGTAAGAGATGAAACTTTTCAAGTCCTTACGCGATGTCGCTCGAGCCGATAAGATCGCGTCCTTTCGTTCTTCAACTTCAAACGGAGTTCGTTTAAAGGCCGGCGCCCACGATGCTAGAGCTTGGGTCCAAGTTCTAGTTTCGAGAACTGTGCAGCCAATCAACTTGCAGCTGTTCCATAGAAGCTTCGATTGGCTACACATTTCACGAAACTAGAAATTGGACCGAGTTCTAGCATCGTGAACATAGGACTTAATTCCGAGAAATGTGTGGCCAATCAACTTGCAGCTCTTATGGAACAGCTGCAAGTTGAAGGCCTGTGTCCACGATGCTAGAGCTTGGTCCAATTTCCAGTTTCGAGAAATGTGTAGCCGATCAAAGCTTTTATGTAACAGCTGCAAGTTGAAGGCCTGTGTCCACGATGCTAGAGCTTGGTCCAAGTTCTAGTTTCGAGAAATGTGCAGCCAATCAACTTGCAGCTGTTCCATAAAAGCCGCAAGTTGATTGGCTACACATCTCTCGAAACTAGAAATTGGACGAAGTTCTAGGCATCGTGGAAACCGGCCTTCACAGAATTATCACTTGCGATTTGATCACGTAACAATTTGTGTAGACAAATATATGTACCTGTGATGCTATGAGAAAGATATTTTACACCGGTTGATATGACGGATGATTTCTTTCAACATTCTCCTTAAATCAACACTGGTAAGCACTTGAGAACTTACTGGACGACGGTAGAAGCGCAATACTTTGTACGCGTCATGTGCGAAAGGATTGCGCGAACTCATTCCAAAGTTTCACATCGAGCTAATTTGTCTAATTGATATACCCGCTACAATTTTCTCTAATTAGAATTTCGCAATTGCCCATATGTTACAAGTTAGTTTCCCCGAGCTCTCAGTTTCTGCGGTTGCAGTAGTTAAGTCTATGTTTGCGCGGACAGACCGAGGCGCGAGTTACCTTTCAAACTTTCGCACGTTTAGTATATCCTCTGGAAACAGCTGTCGTTAATATCGCACAAGATGTATAACTGCGCGTTTAAATTTATCATCGAGCAATCAAAGTTGTCGCTATTAAACTACGACAGCTTTATAACAGTAATTTTGTTAGCTAAACACGTGTTTATTAAAAACATGTAAAAGCATGTAAGATGTGGTAAATTATAAGAATGTATGCATTGATAAAACTTCTTTTCCATTTTAGATTGCTTGAAATTCAAGCGAAAAGAAAGCAGCTGGTAAAAGCGACATCACGAACGACTAAGAATATTTAATAAATGTTGGTATTACGATTTTTTTACTGCCTCTTTTGAATAACTTTATGTACTGTCGGTGCATCGTAATAAGAAATTGAAGAAATCCCGCTGCGCGAATAATCGATTGTACAAATGTTATATGCAGGATTCGGAAAAATATTGTTATTAAACTACCACAGTTTTATAACAGAATAATTTTGCCATATACACACGTGTGTTTGTTAAAAATATGTAAAAGCATGTAATATGTAGTAAATTGTATGTATCGATAAGATTTTTCTCCATTTCAGATTACTTGAAATTCGAGCGAAAAGAGAACAGCTGGTAAGAGCAACATCACGAACGACTAAGAATATTTTGATAAATGTTGGTATTATAATTTGTTACCGCCTCTCTTGAGTAACTTAATGTACTGTCGGCGCATTGTAATAGGAAAATGAGAAAATTCCACTGCGCGAATAATCGATTGCACAAATCGATTATACAAATGTTATACGCAGGATTCGAGAAGATGTATTTTACGATCAAAATTTTACAAATATCACAAGCCTGGAACGCATACTTTAAAACGTACGTAAGAAACGCGCATTTTCTTCACCTCAACGTTCTGCAATTCATCAAATCGTCCGAGATGAAAGTTTAAAAATTGTCACGTCCGCGCAACGTGCGACTCTTCGCAATTTTCCCGAGAAGAACTTGGGAATAATGTCCTTTACAGAATCGTGCTCTCTGATTTTACTTTTCCGCGATTTCTTCCGCGCGATCGTCTCACGGTTGCGCGTTGTAAGACTCGTCGGCGGGCTCGGGGGAATCGTGCTTTCTCGGAGGTGCGCGTTCGGCGAGCTTTCGCCCCGACCCCACGACGACCCGCCGTGCCGAGGGTGCCCCGTCGTCGACTTACCCGAGCGTTTCGTGTTGAAGTGACCGTAGAAGCGGCTGAGGTCGATCGCCATGACGGCGCGCGGAAAAGCGGCGCAGGCCGTCAGGGCGATGCCAAGTGCAACCGCGCCGTTGCAGAATCTCCGTACCATCCTCGCTTCGCGGATGCGGATGCGCTTTGCGAGTCGCAGGGGCAGGCGCTCCTCTTCCTTCTGTCTTCCGCTGCTGCTGCTGCTGCGGCGACGAGTCGGCTCTCTTCCTCTTTCACTTCTCGCGCTGCGGAGAGGGCTTTTCTTCTCTTCGCCCCGAAGAATCCCTGGTTCCTCCTCGCGAACGCGAACCCGGTGGATGTACCGTCACCCTCGCGAGAATCACCTGCTCGCTCGCTCGCTCGCCCGTTGGTATCTGGTGCGCCACCAAGGTTCGAGTAACTCCTCGGGGTGGCTCGCGCAAGGTCCCTCGCCCCGAGAGCACTCCGCTTCGGCTGCGCTGCGTCTGTATGCGTGGGTGCGAATGTTAACGGCGCGGTTGCGAGGTCGCTTTCACCACCCACCTCGTTCGCCCTTTCTCGGAATCTCCCTGCTCTCTCGCTCCCTCGCGGACGGCCCGCTCCGCTCTCGCCACCTCCTTCTCCCACTTACGCCCGTAAGAGAAGAGATATCGCTGTCCCTGCTGGGCAAGTGACGGTGCACAGCCACACTGTGAGCACACCTGCGCCACGCGATCTCACCTGCGGCCGGCTCTCGCGTTGCTGAACTCGGGTGGGGGGGCGGGGGGCGGGGGGAGGAAGGAGAGGACGCGTGGGAGGCCGGCCGACCAATCGGCCGCCGGGTTACGCCGGATACGGCCAATCGGCAATCGCGAGATCGCAGGTCTACCCTGGAACACCCACGCTTGCCGTTGCGCCCAGTCGCATCGATTTCAGCCCCTCGTCGCGTATCCCCCCAGTGGCGTAAACGAGGGGCGGCTAATCGCGAGCGCATCCGCAACAGCTGAGACACTCATCGGGAGCGTCCTTTTCATTTCTTTCTCCCCGCGTCGTACCACCGCCCTTAAAATCTCCACACAAGCACGGCGTACTGACCTTTCCTCCCCTCCTTCTCTCCCACCTCAGGCAGCACCGAGCGTGTGCCCTCTCGTTACGCCCGGCGCCCCCTCCCCCACCCCCGACACGCTGTTACGACCCTGTCTCCGCCAAATAGGTAACTTTCGCTTGTCGTTACAAGGTACTTATGAGCACTCGCGATAATACACGTCGGCGCTTAGTTAATTTTACGGGGAATCCAGCCGCGCTATCCAGCCGAGGATCGCCGTAATCGTTCGTGGCTTCCGGGTAGCCCACGGTGGGTTAGCTGTGCTCGAACCGCGCGCGGCGTTTTACCCCTAGATCTCGTCCGGACGAAATAACGTGCCTGATAACAGCCGCGTAATGTCGCGTACCATTTATCGCGACAGAACATCGCCGGCGATATCGATTACCTTCAATCGCGAAGGATGAACTCCCGTAATTTGCGCGAGCTCTATTTTCGCCGCGATGTCCTGAATGAAGATCATACGTCAGACGCGATGACGTCCCTCGCGGAAAAGCGGCGAGATAATTACTCGGAAATCACTGTGCGTCAGTAGTTTCGAACGAGATTGAATTGTCGATACACAGTGATTTTCTGATAATTATTTCGTTATCTTTTCGCAACGCGCACTGTTAATGACAATTTCGCAGTAGACTCGACTTTGTAATATACACGTAGACTGACGCGCGGAAGAAGAGCCGGTTTTCGCAATGCCGGTGAGATTTCAAAGGGAACAGTGTGTAAAGTCGTTTCGAGAGACAAAAGTGTACTTGTAAACTTCTGCCGGCCTGTTTATCATTTCAGTTGTTAACAAACAAATTCCCGTACGGCCGTTTTGCAATTAAATACAGGCGAGAGAAATTTATATTTTTTAATCTAGCTGTTTTAATTTAACTCGGCGTGGGATTTTATAGAACTTGGAGGCCTCTATTTATTGGATCCCCCAGGGAGATAAAATGCGGTTATTCGCCGGTTATCCAAGTTATTACGTGGATTAGCGCGACCCACGCGTGCTTTCATTTTCTTTCTTCTTACCTTTTCTCTCTCCACGAGACGTGATTCCACCACGGCATCGATACGCGAAACTCTCGCACGTTACTCACTTCTTTTTTTTTTTTTTTTTAACACAGCCTCTCTTGACGTATAATCGTAATGTGAAATTATTAGATTTTCTAGTATTACTCCAATGATGTATTTTCACGGAAACGTCGAAAATATCTAATCGAGAGCATTGAAACAATTATGTCCTTGTCATAGACATAATATATCTAGACCGAGCATTGAGCAGTGGGAATAAACGTTCACGTAGAAAAGGACAAACTCTGTTTTGTGCTATTTCCCTCTCTCTCTCTCTCTCTCTCTCTCTCTCTCTCTCTCTCTCTCTCTCTCTCTCTCTCTCTCTCTCGTTCGCATGTGAACAAGAGAGAACGAAATAGCACAAAACAGAGTTTGTCCTTTTCTACGTAAACCTCCACCCCCCACGGATCAAATAAAGGCAAACGTTCGGTCTAGATATATTATGTCTATGGTCCTTGTATTCTCATAAATTCTATAAAAATTTCATCGCATTTATTACCTTGACCAAAATATCCTGACTTGTCCCTTTTTTAATTAATATTCTCTCTCTCTCTCTCTCTCTCTCTCTCTCTCTCTCTCTCTCTCTCTCTCTCTTTTTCATTGAGCAAAATGAGAATTATTTTTAATCGTCATTGTATATAATTTATATATTCGCGCATTATCGTTGCAAGCACTCATTAAACTCGTGAATGAAAGATAATTCGCAAAGAAGACACTCTATATATCGCACACATTTATAACTGCGCGATCTCGCCACTTTATTTTTACCGTCCGCTTCTTTAAAAATCTTCATTACGTAACGTGAATGTTACCTACACGCCTGGTAGGTCTCTATAAGATCTTACGTTTAAAATAACAATCAAGGAGTTGGATTCTCCTTCTCCCTTTTCTATTTTCTATTATATAATCCAGGAAGGTGCACAGCCGCGGAGTTCGTGTAGAGGCTCTTCGATTCGAATCCCCGCGCATTCCTGAACGTAGCGGCGGGATCCGTTTCATCTCCTTCGCAACGTCGTGTCTCGATTTAACGCAGTGCTCGGTTCTCGACGAATTGAGATTAGATAAGAATTTGTGCAATTAGAGCAAAAGTCGCCAAACGTGAGATTGGTCAGATTTCAATCTAATCTCAATCTAATCTCGCTCCGTAGTCCGATACGGGCTTGGCTTGAACGCTCATTTAGGACCAAAGGCCCAGTGAGAAACGATTCGTCGATCGATGTCGAATCGACGTCAATTCGACGGCGTTGATGTCAATTCGACATCGATCGACGAGCCATTTCTCGCTGGGGATGAGCGTTTAAGCAGAAAAAAAGAAACTGGGAACTGTGTAAAATCGAGGTACGACCTTGCGGAAGAGATCGGTCGATATGCAGGTATATCGACGCGTACCTGACCAACTTCAAGAGCGATCGTCATCGGCAACGTGTCAACGGTATCGTCCGCTTCGTTGTGCACGAAGCGGGCGATCGGTTTTCCCCCTCGAACGATTCGAATCGAAGCCCGCGTTCGGAGAATCGTGTGGGCCCACCGGTGTACGTACGCACCGTCGAGATTGATTATGCCGCTCCTGCTTCCCAGAAATGTCACGGTAACGCGGGGCGCATCAGCCGACCGCGGTCTCGCGTAAACAGACGGGAATGCGTCTGGCCTGACGACCGCGATGCAGTCTGACATCATGGAGGATTTGAAGATAAAATTTTTCGACCTCATTAACAAGCAGGCAAGCACGTCGTCCGCGAGTACAACGAGCGATTACCGTAGCACTCGAGGCGTCAGCGCGGCTCCGCTTCGCTGCGCTGCCTGAGGAGTGAGGTTATGCGACGACTCGGAAGTGATGTGTAGCCCAGGCTTGACGTCTCGCTGTCAAACTACGTCGCGCTAATCTCTCCTTCTCGGCCCCGTAATTGCTCTTAACGAGAACCGTTGGCGATAAGACGGCGGTTTTGCGAATTTTGCAGCTCGACGTCTGTTACGTTTGGTCTCGTAACGGTTATGCCTGTGTCGTAATACATAATTTAAATACAGAATTTAGTTCTATATTTTTATCTAAAACTTGTATTGAATTGTGTATACATTATAATTCAATTGTATGTGTGCAAAAAAATGTCAATTTATAGTCTCGACAAAACTGTATTGGTATCACTCGCTCCTGATCACAGGCTGAAGTTAAAGAAGACAACACGTGATTTGAACATTGACCGTGTTATTGTTAAAGTAAAGTCTGACCGTTGGAAATTTTCAGAACGCGACCAAGGTGCCGCTTATGGGTTTGAATCCCGACCTGCTTAATCCGCCCGACTTGCAAAAGTGCGAGGACCTCTGCTCCGAGGCTGATCAATCGACAGAGAGCGAGCCTATACCCGACCAGGATGTGCTGGACTCTATCGAGGACGTTTACTTCAACACCGATGGCAGTTTCGATTCGCCGCGCTACGAACTGAGGAAACTGCCGGCGACGTTGCACTCTAAGGAAATCGAGAAATGTTATAAGAAACTCAAGCAGCAGCAGCAAGTTGTCTCGAAGAAGGTGTTGCAGCTCATATTGCAGAAGCAGAGCTCGTGTAAGGAGGAATTTGAAAAGATTCACCTGCTGCAGGAACAACTGCAGGACGTCTTAGAAATATGTAAGATGGGAAGGGCAGATCTGCAGTTAGCCGAGGAACAATTTACCAAAGCGAGTTTAGGTATATTAGCTAATTATCAGAGGCGACAAGTCACCCAAGAACTGTTGAATAATTTAAACACGATAAAGACCCTGGTAAGTTAATTTGTATCTTACGCCTGTCTTTAAAAAGATAATACGTGCCTCATAAAAGGCTAAGTTCTAGCCTCGTATTAGGTGAAGAGAAAGATTGTTTACATTATGAACTTTGTTATGTAGCAATGTACGGGGGATCGTTTGAAAGAGCTTCTGGACGAAGGGAATTATCCTGGAGCCATATCGCTTCTTTTGGAGTGCCAGAGTGCCGCTCAGACTTACAAGCATTTCCAATGTATCGCTGAGCTGAATACAAACTTACAAAATATTTTAGATCAAGCGGAAAGGACCTTAGACAATACGCTCTCTAAAATGTGCATTGAATTCGATGTCGCGGTGTATTCTTCAATTCAGGAAGCGTATACGCTACTAGGAAAGACCCAGTCTGCCATGGATCAGTTGCACATGCATTTCACTGCTGCCATTCACAACACGGCGTTCGCAGTTATCCATCGCTATGCGGGTGGCGACGTGAAAAGACAATACAAACAATTGTGTCAGGCTGTGCCCCGTGAGAAATGTATAGCTTGCCTCACGGAACTGTGCAAATCATTGTGGACAATACTGACTTCGTACCATTTAATTGTAAATTGGCACAACGCGCAAGAGGATAAGGTCGACTGTAAGTCCGATGTTAAGGATTTAGAGGCGACTTTAAGCAAGCAATATGTCAAGCACAAATTGGAAAACGGCATGGTCCGAGTGTGGCACGATGTGGAGATGAAGATATCGGTGTATCTGACGAACACAGATTTGACTAATACCAAGTTCGAGCAGTTTGTCCAAGTATTGGGTGTAGTTAACAGGTGAGCAAATGGATAATCGTCGGTTGGTGCTGAATGAACAAATCGTCTATTAAACTACCTGTGAATTGTAGGTTGATGGAAATCGGGGAAGATCTCTGTGGCTTCAAATCGGAGAACTTGCAAGAGTCCATAAAGCAGCAGTCCCTGTCGTACTTTTCTCATTATCACGCGTCTCGTTTGGATGAATTGAAAATATTTTTGGAACACGACGGCTGGGAGTTGTGTCCTGTGAAGTCCGATTTCATGGCTACTCAATTAATGGAATTTCGAAGCCTGAAACCTTCGCTGAATAACTGTAAAGCGTGGAACAGCCTAGATAGTTCGACCTTGAGCGATAGCGATAATTCTACGGGAGTCGATCTGCAGAAATATCTCGAGGGCGGTTTGTCACCGTTCACAATAGGACTGGATGACACCATAGATGAGGATATTTTGATAAACGATGATGTAGGAAGATCATTAAACTATTACATTTTAACGCTGTTCAAAATGCTTGATCTTAAATATTAATGATCTCTCACGTTTTCTTATCCAGATTGATCAACCTGCGTATTTTTCGGACGAGTCCGATGAGGATATTCCCGACGAATTAAAGCACGAATATGTCGACGAGCCGGACCATACCAAAGTTAATAAAAAGAAGTGCAAACTCAAACAATCCGGACCTATGGTCACAAACACGACGTTAAGCATACTGAGAGTGTGCGGCAAGTATCTACAGATGTCGAAGCTTTTACGATCAATCGCGGTTACTGTCATACAGAGCATGATACAATTTTTCGAGCTATGCTTCTACACAGTACACTTATTCTTTACGTCGGATCTCGTAAGTTCACGTTACGATTCCTAATTACACTCGTGGACTGGAACATGATTTAGAATACAGCTCTCCATTCTTTCAGCAAATCAATAGCGACTCGTTATACAGTCCAAAATTAAAATTATCCTTAACGCGAATCAGAGAAACTCTGATTATCTCTGAGAACGATACAATCGAAGAAAATGGCAATGCGAATTATGATAAAGTAAGACAACCACAGCTTTCATCCATTGTGAATTTGTCACAGCCTGAGAAACTTCACGGATTAACGGAACGTATTGTAGCTGTCGAGTCTCTGATATTTTTAGGACAGCAGTACGAAGGCCTAAGGCCTTACTTAGAGCATCTCATTGCCAGCAGTCCTCAGAGAGGATTTTTGCATCAGTTTTATATGCAAACGATAGCGTCTGCTGCAGACTTGAGAAAGCCAGTCTATATGGCGGTAACGTCGCGAGCATTTGACGTTGCAAGTATTTTAAACTTGATGAGCAAGGTCAATTGGGAAGTGACGGACGTCATGTCTCAACACAGTAATTACATCGATGCACTAATCCAGGTGCGTGTTGCTGTTAAAATGAAATATTTTCAATCAAAATGATATTAAAAGTATTGCTGCACATTTTTTTTACAGGAAGTTTGCACCCTGAACGAGAGACTTACCACTATTGGAACGTACATACCTTTAAATGCGGATATATGTAACGCAGTTTGGGAAAATGTGGCTCACTTAATCACGCATACCTTAGTGGAAGGGTACGGCGAACTTATCTACATCTTTTCACAAGAGTACTTAATATTCTGAAGGAATTCAATTCAACTGACGGAGGTGTAATTTTGTCGCTCTAGGTTCTCCAATGCTAAAAAGTGCTCGAATGGCGGTAGAGCTCTAATGCAACTCGATTTCACGCAGCTAAAGTCAAAGTTCGAGAAAGTGACGTCGTTGAGACCTATGCCGCATAGGGAGTACGTTGAACTGTACATCAAAGCGTACTATCTTCCTGAAAACAGCTTCGAAGACTGGATTAAGGAACATAAGGTATTTACATATACAAATATTGCGTATATATTATAAATGGTAGGATATTGACAACTTTTTATTTTCTGCTTATACGAGCAGCTTAGTAGCATATAAAATGCGTGATTATGTCTTGCAGGAATATTCAGTTAAACATTTGGTCGGTCTGATTTCGGCGACGTGTCAAAACAATAAGAAAACGCGGCAACGATTAATAGCGCTTGTGGAGGAGCAGCGGCCCAGTAGATAGCATCCAACCATTTATTACAAACCCGTACAAGATCATATCGAAATAGCGAGTACTTGAAACGTGCGCGCACGCATCTATCAGGTCGGGGATACGATAATCGTGTTGTTGATTGTACAGTAAAACAATTTTTTAAGTACGTTGCAAAACTGATCAGATATATTCGTGTTTAAACTATCTGGTCGAAATTAAAATCTCTGAGAGGATCACAATTACGAACCAAACGAGTTACGATTCAATATATTTATGAAGTATTCTGTATATGAATCTCATAGTTCTAAGAACGCTTTTACAATGTACTAACTGTAGCTCTAATGTATATATCACAAATGTCATTAACATATACATGGTACTTTAGAGTCTAAGCAGTTAGACCACACACGCGAATTGGTACGATAAAAAGAATAGTAGCTTATTTTTAATATACTAAGATATTTCTTGAACGCGAGAGTGCACGGTTATACGAATCTCACTTGTGAATCTACGAATTTGTAATTGAACTGCAGTATTAACATGCGATTACCGTGGTAACTGGAATCTCAAAATGTTGCCATTGAAAAACTTCACGCGATGAAAAGATACATGTATATACATATATGATCTATAATATATGCATTGCGGCGTTAATTTAAGAAAAAGTTTTCTTGAAATATGACATTGTCATATTTAAAAAATATATTTTAATATTTATCTGCTTTAAAAATTCTATTTTATACAGTTTTATTTTTGTATAAAAGTAAAGCACGCGTTAAACATGTGTCGTTTTTTTTTGAGATTATATGCGTTATTAAAATCTGATTTAATAACAGTATTCTTGAAGCTGAGTAAAAATATAGAAAATGTATAATGTGATGGTTAATATCTCATTTTATTAAAAAAATTATATTGGCTGTCAAAATAGTAAAACCATGACTGCTCACTGAATTTAAAAAATATTTATTTTACTTTACTGTCGATTCAGTCTTGTGTAAATTGGGGATAACATGTATTAAAGTACTAATAAAAAAGTAAACTGTAAAGTATATTTAGTGTTATCTTGTATACCCCGCAAATTAA